GCCCAATTAATTTTGAAAAATAAAAATGGAAAGCCCAATTGTCCAAATTTTTTTTTTTAACTGGTAATCGGTTCGGTTTAGTGCACCAAAGCTAAATACCATACTCGTCGCTAAATGAAGCGGTTTATTAAATTCAAAACCATAACCGCTCCATTGCACCATCGGTTCGATTTTTTCGCCCCATTCGGTTCGGTTAATCGCGATTTTCGATTTTCACAGTTCGAATTGCCATCCCTATCCTATAGCGTTCAATGTGTGCAGACTGGTCTCTTAGATGATCGTGGTTCATAATGTTGAAGTGCTATCATGCATTAATTGCTGCATCTTTATGCTGTTTGGCAGCCGTGTAAGAATTACACTGCTTGTACACTCTGTGTACAATAAGTTTGACGTTTCAAGACGTGTCAAAGTCTGAGTCACTGATTGTTTAAAGTAGTGTTAAAATCAATGTATAAAAAACTGCAACCTCACAATAATTTCAAACTTATGTACACGTTGCAAAATTGGCCTCGTAAATCAAATTTTCATTAGATGACAATATTAAATTGTATTATATAATTTTGTTTATTTGAAGAAATTGTATGGCTTGCTTGTAATTGATTATTTTTTCTTTTTCATTAGAAGCATCTAGAAATTGGATTCAAAAGGCTAACTAAAAATCAACTTGAGTTTTATGTCTACACAAGTTTTCTGCTTTCTTTTATGTGCAGTTCGGTGGAGAGCATGCAAGAGGATATGATCATTTATAAAAGACTTCATTTTTCCCTATACTCCTGAAATCCGTGAGATTTATGGATCATGACGCAACACTTCCATGGAATTTTGCACATTTTGACGGCAAATACTGCTGTTAACTTTCTTCCACGTACAAAAGTTCATGGTATACTCTCTTCGTCCTATAAAAATAGGCTTATTTTTATTTTCACACAGATTAAAAAAATATAATTAATATAGTTGAATATATAAATTTGAACCATGCTACTTGTATAGTTTCGTTGACAAATTCTTGGACACATGTTGATGTGCATCTGTCAAAGAACTTGTCAAAACATCCTATACAAGCAGCTTAATTTTATAATTTTTACATACATTTTTTAATAAATCTTTGTTTTTTTGTTGATAATAAGACATTAAACAAGAATAAAAATTAAGAAATCAATTATACCGTCGATAAGAAAAATGATTTATAATTTAGGACAAAGAAAAAAAGAAAAAAGGTTTATTTTTATGGGGCGGGTGGAGTTTTGTCAACATGTTCAGTAAGTAGGCGAACCAAATGCGTACAAAATATGTACAAAGCAAATCATTGGAGATTTCTGATATTCTCTCTGATTGGACCGATTATGGTAGAGCTTCAGCTCTATGTATCCGAGGCTTGTAAGCTAAATGTACATGTATAGTTAGGGCAATCAAATTATACTGCTTTCTTGACCTCATGAATAATATAAAATGTCATTGGTACACATTTCTTAGAATTTATTTTTTTAACTCATTTTGAATTGCACATTTCAAGGGATTTATAACTTTTTGTCATTTTTTAATCATAAATTTCATTAATTTTTATCAAAATATATTAAAAATATGATTTTTATCAAAACCAAGTTCTCAATTCTGATTAATGCATGGGGACAGAGGCGCCCCACAAATAGGATCCATATACTCGAAGGGCCCTTGAAATTTGACACAAAAAAATTTACTAGGACAGCAGATTTGCCAATAGGAGTGAGGAAATCTCACCTTATTCACCCACACTCCCATCACAACATTAATTACACACACAATCCTATCCTTTCACATCAGTTTCCATCAGCTGTCCATAAAACTTTATTTTCAACCATCAAATTTTCGAAACTTAATTTCTTCTTGATCCCAATAGTCACATAAGTAGAAAATGGCTGCCATGAACTCCAGTGTATTGACATGCAACTATGCGTCTATGCCGTATCCGGTACTGAACTCAGCGCAAAGGGTCCATCTGTGCATTGTGTTGCGTTTTCTGCTGCACCGGTTCAAAAGATGCTGGAGATCAGAGCCGGATCGGTCTCTGACTAGAAAGAATCAGCCAGAAGAGCTGCAATTCTTGGCCTTGGAGCTGCCCTTCTCACTGGTGTTGTTTTTACATCCTCAGCAAATGCAAGCGTCATTAATGAATATATTGAAAAGAACAAGGCCAACAAGGTAGGTTTCATTTTCTATTGCGCTATAATAAAATATTGAGGTCCCTAACTTGCTATTTTCTAAAAGTTAGGGACTAACCACACATTTTCATTATGTAATATGCTATTTTAAAATTTCAAAACTAGATGGAATCAAACTCTAGAATACACCTTGGGGATGCTCATCGGGCTGGGCCGAACATTATTAAAGGAAAGAAAATATAAGTTAAAATCTTATTTATTTTACTGTTACTACTACACGTTGAATGTGTTCTTGATCAATAGTCAAATGATGTTCAACGAAGACAAATATTTATCATTATGCCTTTGCACTACATTTTAGCTAGGGTATAAAATTTGTTAGTTTCTTAAAACTAGGTTGGTTGAATAGGAATTGAATGACAAGAGGCTGACCCCAAGTGGTGCAAACTTTGCCCGAGATTTTACAGTTCAATTTGGTACACGCAAATTCCCTGAAAACTTCACTCGCTGCCAAGATCTTGCCAAGCTCAAGGTTTGACATTTGCCCAAGTAGAATATCTACTTGTCCATGGACCGATAGCCTCACGTTCCTCTTATTGATGGACGAATAGGAATTTCCCCTTTCTTCTTTTGGTCGTTTCCAAGTCTTGTGACTGTCAGTTACTCGGAAATAATATCGTCATTTTTATCTTTTGTGTCAAGGGATAAGTACACTAGGGCATGAATGCTCTTTTATCATGTACGTGAATTACTAGCAATTGGAAAGTGAAGCCCTTCCTTCCAATCCAAGCCGGCGAATCCGCCTATTTCTTAGGGTAAAGGGCGCTCCATCCTCCTAACTCCTTCCTCTTCTCCCAGGGACTACGGCTACGTTAATTTTATAGGAGCGCACATAGAGGCGTCAAAACGTGCTTCTCACTATCTCGGCCCGCAAAAAGCATTAACCTTATCCATCCTACCTTTATAACTCTATTGCTAGGCTTACTAGAGTGGACATGTCAAAAAGTGCTGGGATGAAAAAGAAGCAACCCTAGGATAGAGGGGTCAAAATTTGTGAGGCTATTTAGGCTCTTGTTCCTTTCTTGGTTGGAGGATGAGAAAAAGTAAATAGTGTCAAAATGTGTCTTAAGCTTAGCTCAAGCAATATCCGAAGAGACTCATGCTTTTCTTGGTTATACCAATTAGCTTTGGAAATTATTGTATTAATAATTTTTTTGCTCTGATTTACTGCAGAAAGTACCATTTATTTCAGATGACTTGGGAGTGCCAAGGGAAAGATTATGTACTCCATTACATATAGAACACCAATTTTATTCAATATTGTGTACTAAACATGACTAAGTCTGTGTATACATGAAGAAATAAAATTGTTCTCGGGGTTTCAATCACTTGCTCTTTTTCAATTAATTTGACCTCAATCAACACTGCCTACTTAAAGAAGACGAAGGAGACCCTGTACCATGGTTGATCAAATCCATTACCGTTCAACTTACTTCCAAGCATAGAAGAAGTTACAGCATAACATAAACGTTCATTAAATCTGTAGAAACAGTAGCAAAAAAAAATAGAAATATTTCGGGAAGTGTAGAAATGATCTAGCTGCAAAAATAGTATAACCTATAAGTATAACGACAACAAGAATGGTCAGGTGTAGACACTGCGCAATGTATCTATGAATGGTCATCTGACAAAAAATACTCACTGGATTTCGTTAAAGTTCCCAAGCAGCAAGACAATTGAATGGAAAGTGCTGTGAGCGGTCGTGAATACTAGTTCCATTGAGAACAAACCTCTGGTAGAAAGGTTCCATTCTCTGAACTCTTCAAACCTTTCTGAATAATCGGAGCTGGCTCGTGAAGAGCCCTCTTTCTTTATATCCAGGCAATGTCACTTTGATTCATCGTCTTTCCCAGTGTGGAGACTACACTGCATTTTTCTTATTCCTGAAGTTCTCTTTCAGCATTGCAAACTTTTTCTTACACTGATCAACAGTTTTCCCATGAACTGCAGCAGCTACTCGTTCCCACCTCTGGTTAGTTTCCTTTGGGAATGTTTTAAGAGCTTGGACCAAATCTTTTTCCTGAACATCGGACCATGTATCCTGGTCAGAACTTGAAGAAACCCCATTTCCGATAATGCTCTCATCTGTTTTTTGACCATTCTCAACGGGACTGGAAGATGGATCTGAACCATCCGACTTACAACTATTCTTCTCTAGCACATTGCTGTTCCTAAAGTTATCTTTCATCAACGTAAATTTCTTCTTACATTGGCTGACAGTTTTCCTGGGAACTGCGGCAGAAACTCGTTCCCACCGCTGGCTAGTTTCCTTGGGAAAGGTCTTCAAAGCTTGAACCAAAGCTTGTTCCTGAACAGACGACCATGCATCTTGATCTGAACTTGAAGCAACACCATTAGAAGCTGCACTATCATCCAACTTCTGGCAGCTTCCAGTTCCAGTGGATGACTCAGGCAAATTATTTGGATCAGAAGCATTCCTCTCGGGCACATTGCCGTTTGATATCCCAGGAAAGTCCTCTCTGGCTGTAAGAGGAGATGCAATTGATTGTGCTGGCTTTCTTTTCTCAAGGAAGGAATCAAAAGCTTTGGCGGAGTCAGGCTTCTGAAGAAGAACAGTTTTTGTAGCCTTCAGAACCTCTTCAACTGACCTTCCAGTACCAATGTACTCAGAAATCACTTCCCACCTCCGAGAAGTTCCTTTAGGATATTTTTGCATCCCCTTTCTTAACATCTCAATCTCTTCTTTGCCCCAGGGATTCTCCCTTTTCTCATTGCTGCCAAAAATGACTTGCTTATTCACCCCCATAGAACCATTCTGCCGTTCGTTCTTCTTCTCATTATGCTTCTCATACTTCGCTTTGTTATCAGATCCAAGTGCCTCCCTCAGAAGTTCAGCTCTCCCTAGCACTTCCTTTCTTTCCATCTTGTCACATAAATTCCTCAGTTGTTCAATATCAAGTGAAATGCAAAGACCTTCCACATCATCATCAGAAAGATCAAGCAAATGCTGGGACACGACAGCTCCAGAAAGTGTTCGAAGCCGGGTCCGCTCTTTGCGCAATAGCTTTTTCTCTCTCTCCTTCAATTTTTTCTGATTTAAAGCAGCTTCAGCGGCCTTTCTTTCATCCTCCTCCTTTTTACGTCTCTCCTCCTCAGCAATCCTAGCTGCTTCTTCCTCCTGCAGTTTCTTTGCCAAAATCTTGGCCTCCTTCTTCCTCTGTTTCTCAGCTTTGAGCTCATCTTTTCTTCTAAGAATTCTAGGGTCCCTTTTATAGGCATTGTCAACAAGTGTACGTATACGTCCATATTCTTCCTTCCTTGCCTTCTCCGAGAGTTTTGCATTTTGCCTCTCCATCCACCTTTTGTGATCACGGGACTCAGCTTGCTCAACGTCAAACTCATCAGCATGGGGAAACTCCCTCCAGCTCTTGAAGCTATACCAAAAATCATAAAAACTATCCACTTCTTCTAGTGTAGAATTTTCATCTCCCAAAGTCGGGATGGGCTGGTGCACTGACCAGCGCCCATTTCTCAAGAATGCTGGTCCAAACACCTTGAAAAAGTCCTGCGGTGCACACTCATATGGAATTTCATCATCAAACTCGTCTGTTGAATCATAGATTCTTCTCTTGACGGGGTCAATGAGCACCTCGTAAGCTTCCTGAATGGCCTTGAAATGGCTCTCTATTTCATCCTTCTTCACTAGCTTCGCTGCCTCAGTTTCCTCAGCAAGCAGAAGTGCAGCCTGCTTGTCCGGATGATGCCTCAGAGCAGTTTCACGATAACTTTTCTTTATCTGTTCCTCAGTCGCAAGATACCTCAAATGGCCCAACCCCAATAAAGCATAATGATCCTGCTGCTTCCCTTCACTGCCAGATTTCTTCTTGCCTTTACTACTGTAGGAATCCGATGTTTGCCTGTAGTCCTGCTCCTTCTCATTCGAACCTTCATTCTTCTTTTCATTATCTGCATTTGTTTCCTCAACATGACCTATCAACCTAAGTGCAGCTGCGTGAAAAGCATGTCCTGCAGGCTCACGGTTGAAAGCTTTGATTGGAAGGCTGTTAGACGAAACATAGATAGGTTCTCCATCTACGATTTCCAGAGAGAATGTAATAAGCTGCATACTTTTCCTGGTAGCCATATGTATTACTAGCGGTATCGGGAAATCTACAGATTAACACAATTACGTCAAAACTTCGAATGAGTCTGGCACCTGCAGTTCGAGAACAAACATCAACTAATTTCCAAATACAAAAATCTAAGAGAAACAAATAGTAGCAAGAAGAATCTTTTACCAAAATATAAAAATTCCTTGAACTCCAAATAATTAACTCCAAAATTTTTAGCTTTCGTCAGATAATTCAATAAATAAGTTTCGTAAACAAGATAATCCAAACGGATTAAAATAAATAAGGAAACAAGTACATAGATACAAAAAATATTATTATCATAAATTTATATAAGCATGAAAGAGATAAGATTGACTTACCTTAGCTTCGTGTGATGACAGCCGACCGTCGGCGAGGCCGCCGAGAGTAACGTAATCGGAGTCGGATGTGGAGATTGATTTTGATACGAGCTGACGAACCTAGGGTTTTGTTTTAGTTGTGCAGAGGAGAAAATCTTATAATGAAGTGGTAAGTATTTATATTTTGGGCAATGGACTTGTTCATGAAGATGAACCATTGAGGTTGGGGTATAGGCCGATAATGCTGGACCACTCGGGCCGATAGAAGCTATTTATCAATATGAGCCCAAAAGATCTTCAAAAGATTCTTATAAAAATGAGCAAAATATCTACAATAAAATAATTTTGTACGTGGTATCATATTTTTTCTTAGTTTTTACAACGTATTTTAAAAATAATTCAACTTTTTTACAAAATTAATTTTTAAAAAAATATCTACCAAACAAAGCTTTGCCTTCAAGTTCAAACCTAGCTTTAATTGTCTTTTTTTGAGAAATGCTACAGGAACATGTTCAAATCTAGATTTAAATTCAGAGATTTGAGAAATGCTACAGGAACATGTTCAAATCTAGATTTAAATTCAGAGAGGACGTGTGTCTGCATCGGATTGGACTGTTTAAAAAAAAAAACATAACACTCAATCATTACCTTACACCTCTGTCTCATTTTTTCCTTTTTTGGGTCTGTATGAGTGGCTTTTTCCTTTTCTTTTTGGCTTGTTTATAAGGATATTAGAATACATCACATCTCCCCGTGTTCTTCCCCAATCCCAACAAAAATAAACTACTAGTTTGGCTACTTATTTCAAAAATAATTATCTTTGAATGATCCAAAGTCCATTCAATATGTATGTATCCAAATTTCCACAAATTCCATCTTCATCATTCTCTTGGGAGTTTAGCTTCACCGTATCCTATAACAGTTTACGATTTTTCCTTCCTTAATTCCATTCTCTTGGGAGTTTTCCGTCTCCTTAGAATTTTAGAAGGAAAGCTCGGGGAAAAAGAGCAAGAGGAATTTCAGTTTCTTGGGTTCTTTGGCACTTTCAAAGTCTTTAAAGATAGCTTTTTCATGGAGAAAGATATTCTTACAATCACATTAGCCATTATTTTTCCTCTCTTTAATTTTCTTTGCTCATTTACAAATCTCTCAATTCCTCTTTGGTGCCATAATGCACAATAAAGAGGCTTTGGACTATACACAAAAGAGTTCATCCGAGTATGTGAACATTTCCAATTCAATCTCATTCAACTGGAAAACATTTTGGGTGTTCAAAATCACTTGCTTCATCTTCTTCCTCACCCTCTCCCTCCTCTGGACTTCTGTAGTAGTTTTACACCATTGCTTGCATATATACCGCAAAAATGATAACCTTCAAGAAAGTCATTACTGTGGTACCAAAAGTTTGTGGTAACTTTCATATGGAGTTTCATCAACCTTTTTGCATACAACATTCCTGCATTACTCGTGCTTTCTCTAGGATTTACCGATAATACTACCCTAACAGGATTCACGGTTATCGCAATTCTTTCTATCATATACATAGTGGGATTCTATATATAAGCATCATATGGCATTTGGCTAGTGTAATCTCTGTTTTGGGACAAAATTATGAGATTGAAGCCATGATCAAGATCAATGCATTGATAAAAGGCAAATTGGTCATTTCACTATTGTTAGGGAATTATTGAGAGCAATTACTCAAGGCTTAAGCCCACTCCACCAGACCCAAGTGAGGTTCCATCCCAAAATCAATGGGCAATGGGTGGAGTAACCCACTTGGATTATATGGTGGATTTCTTTTCTTCCCACAACCGATGTAGGACTTGTTTGCCCTAACAATCCCTCCCTCAAACAAGGCTCATGAGGTAAATCACCACTCATCGAGATAATCCATCGTAGCCCTGCACCCACTACGTTACCATGGATCTACCATCTCATGAGAATTTTTCACCACCTCGATTTATCTAGCCACAAAACCTGGGCTTTGATACCACTGTTAGGAAATTATTGAGAGCAATTACCCAACGCCCAAGCCCACACCACCAGGCCCAAGTGAGGTTCCATTCCAAAACCAATTGGTAATGGGTGGAGTAGCCCACTTGGGTTATATAGTGGATTTATTTTCTTCCCACAACCGATGTGGGACTTGTTTGCCCTAACAATCATCCCCTCAAACGAAGGACTACATCATTGTGGCCTCCCCTCAAACTATAATCCATTCGCAAATCATCTTGTACCACCGTTATTACCATCACCCTCGACCAAACGGGACCCGCCACCTGACCACCAATGTCAGGAAGACTTTCGACACAAGGCACCTCAAACGTGAATGATTTTTAGCCCGATCGCCACCACGCTTTCTATTACATTCCTCCGACCCTAGGCTCGGATAAATACCAATGTTAGGGAATTATTGAGAGCAATTACCCAATGCCCAAACTCACTCCACCAGGTCCAAGTGAGATTTCATCTTGAAACCAATTGGTTAAGGGTGGAGTAACCCATTTGGATTATATGGTGGATTTCTTTTCTTCCCACAACCGATGTGGGACTTGTTTGCCCCAACAACTATCCATTTTCCTCTTGCTCAATCTGTGTTTCATTGCAACTCAACTGGGATTTCAAAGGTATTTTGCTCTTGGGAAGTACTCGTTGTGGAGCAAATTAGGGTTTGGAATTTTTTGCTTCTCTTTACAGTCGATTTTGACTCTGATTGGCCTTATAATCCACAGTCCTTTACTTTGTTTGCAAGTCATATCACCATGAAAATATTGACAAATCTCGCTTAGCT